GAGCCCGGCTGGTCGCTCCCCTCGCCATCGCTGCGCTAGGATGCGGAGACAGCACTAGGGGGGAATGAAACCCTGCCGCGCTGTCTTTAACGCTAGATAAAGCGCAGCTTCCCTATAGCGTAACGATTCCTCTGGGCTCCGTCGGCAGCACCGTGCCACGTGCTTGGGCTGCGCAGACTCGGCGAAGAGCAGGTGCATTCGCTCGTCGTCACGCTGTGTGTCCGTCCGTCTAGGTGCTGCAGTACCGGGCGCGGTGTCGGGAGCTGGAGCAGCAGCTGGCGGCGGCAGGGGTGGGTGTGCAGGCTGCCCGCCGAACGTGGGGGACGTAGTATTTGTTAGTCCAGACATAAAAAAGCTCCCCAAAGCAATGACAGAGGAGCACAAGGTTTTGCTACCTCAGGGTTTGAAGAAGCACGGTGAGTTTGCCCATCGGTGTTTTCTCCGGTTGCCGTTCTTAGAGCAGCCGGTAGTCCCAGAAATGCCAGTGCAGAAAACCCTCTGAAGAAGGATTTTAGTTTTTTTTTTTTAAGAGTGCTTTACTGCTGGAGTAGCATTTTGTCCTAGGTCTCAGGAGAGGGCTGTGCAGCCTGGTACGTTATATGGCTGTCTCTGGAAAAGAATGGGTTGAAACACAGCATTTTGGCAGGCAGGAACGCTGGCGTTCAACGTACAGAGCTGGCTCTGTGCTTTGCTTTCTGCTTCATGGCTAAAGCAAACCTAGGAAACAAAGGGTAGGAGAGCATTCCCAGGCTTCAAGTCAAAGCGGGCACTCGCGGTCGTGAGGATACCTAGCTGTGAGAGTGCAACAGTGGGAGACTGAGGAGAGCTACTCACACTGAGTAACACCCTTCCCCTCCTCTCCGTAGTCACAAAGCTCTTAGTCCTGTAAGAAGCCACGAGCTCCTGAGATCCCCAGCAAATGGAGGGGAAAGCGATGGATGCTAACAGTAGTGAAGGGGACACAAGAATTTAACTAAACATTTCCTTTCTTCTTTAGGGATCCCTTCCAGGCGGGTGGGAGGCTGCAGAAGACCACAGCCTGGAGAAGGCACTACTTCAGGTGGAAGAGGAGCAGCAAAGGTACAAGCAAGAAGCGTTCCCTCATACCTGGTATACTGGATGCTCGTGGAAGGGAGGGAAAACCTGTCAGTGCTAGCCAGTCTTCCCAAGGGAAGGGGTTGGGCAAGCCGCTTGCAAAGGAGAAAGGTCCCCAGTCTGTTTTCTGTGGTGCAGTAACAGCCTTGTGTGCTGAATGGCTCAGTTTTGAGCGGGGGTTATTGCAGGTGACCTCCAAAGGTCCCTTTCCAGCCTGAATTATTCTGTGGTTCAGTAGGTGAGTGACTCGGGACAGTGCTAGAGAAAGGTGATGCATCCAGTGATCAGACAGCACGAAGGGGAGGCAAGACGTGAGCTGTGGGCATCACCAAAGTTGAAGAGGAAAGGGAAACCAAAGTTGTAGATGAAAACTGAAGGCTTAAAGCAAGGAGAAGCAGAGGAGTTTGCCATGGCAGAGAGATCTTAGTTCATCCTAGAAAGCACTTTTACTGCCTCACAGTTTGAGAACAAAGTGCTGAGGGAGCTGGAAAATCAGGGGGGTGCTGCTTGTGGATAGCAGTTGTTCAGTGACCTCCTTGCTGTTTCTCCCTTTCCAAGGTGCGAGAATCTGGCAGAAGTGAACGCTCTCCTGCGGGAGCACCTCAATAAAGCGAATGAGGTTAATTCAGCCCTGAAAGAAGATGTTGGAAAACTGACGGCGGACTGGATGCGGGCCCGGGAGGAGCTGGAATTGAAGGCACGTGAATGGCGCAACGAGCATGAGGTGAGGACAGGCTACGGGAGTGTCAGACGTGATGCCAGAGTGGAGTGAGGCTGCTTTTTATTTCTGGCGTGGAGAACTTGCTGTGTGAAAGCTGTGGCTCTGTTGAGGCTGTGTTGGTGTTAACGAGCAGAAGATAGGGGTGTGAGATGGAGGGGTGCCAGCAAACTGTGGTCACCTGCTGTGACCATACTGCTCGGTCTGAAAGGCGAATGCTGGCTGCTGCTGGGCACTGTAGGGCAGTCACACAGGAACGCTTGTATTTTGAATTGTTCTTAAATCTCTGTCTAGAGCGGTGGAGACTGGAGAGGTCTGTGTGTTTTCAGATTAAGAGCAGGCAACAGAAGAACAAGATGGACCTCCCTTACCAGTGGCCTGTTGTAAGCAAATCTGACGCTGGTCTTGGAGGGGCTTGTTTTTGTGTTGGTCTGCTGAGACTGTTGGACACCTCTGCAAGGCGAGATAATGGATCGGGATCGGTTTGCTTTGCTGACAGCCACTCCTGCAGGAGAAGTGTGGGTGTTCCCTTCTTGGAAGTCAGGCAGCAGCTTTAGTGAGGAGGCTTCTGTGGGGCCTGTCCAGTCCTTGGTGCCCCTGCTGCAGTTGTTATTACAGGAGACCTGGTGACGGGGGTTGTGACTTGCACAGTGACAGCGAAGGCTGAATTGGCATTTCTTTTTTTGTTTTCATGTTTAGCTTTATGACAGCTACATCAGGGGTGAACATAACCGTCTGCTCAGCCTCTGGCGTCAGGTGGTAACCTTCCGCCGTCATTTCCTGGAAATGAAGACTGCCACTGACCGGTGAGTAGCAGTGAAGGCTGGATCTCTTGCGGAAAACACGCGGCTTCCCTTCACACCTGCTCTTTGTACCTCGATGTTACGGTACTTGCAGCTAAAGAAACGATTTCTCCTTTGACAGTCCGAAGCAATGCCATTAAGCGTGCTTTAGGCTATTTTCAGAATCATTTTGTTTGGTGCTGTTTTTCCAATAAAACTGAGGGGCTCAGGCTGTAAGCAATGCAAAGGGCCTAAACAGGTGAACCTGGCTATGGTGATCTCTGGGCAGATTAACACAGACACAGGCATGTATGGACACAGCGAAGAGACTCGCTGAGGCTGTGCGTGCGGCATGTAGAGCAGTGCCTTTCACAGTGATGAAAATGTGCCTTAAATCTCACTGAGTTTCTTTTCTCACTGCTCCTGATGGAAAGGTCATTCATGAATATATATGTTTTTTTCCCCTCTCATTTCCAGCTTACATTTGTTCTGGTCGGTTTGTATGCACTTATTCCTGTACCAACATGGTTGAGAGAAAGAATAGCTTCTCTACCCCGTTACTGCGTTTATCCAATTTATTTTGCTTAGTTTGATATCTCTTTTTATGATTGTTTTCTTATTCTTGGGCTCTCTGAGGTTGCTTCCTCACTGTTGCCTTCTACACAAACGAAAACAGTGTGGCCTTAACAGTACATTCTTCTGGTGTCAGCATGTAGTTTCAAACTCTGGGTTACTGTCAGCCATTTATCTTATTTGATTACAAGCTTTCCTTAATGTGAAAGCATGCCTGACCTACTATTTAATTCTTGTGTTATTTGTGCTTTTTTGTTACAAAGTTCTTGGCTTACTCTTTACACCACCTTCCTGAAACGTTTATTGTGTAGATATAGTCACGGGCCTCTTAGCAGTGCAAGTGCTGATAATAATAGGTCACTTAAGGCTCACCACCTCGGTGTAAAAGCTGGGGACTTTGGTAAAATTCCTTACATCTATTAATGGTAATTAGAGTATGTTAATAAGATAGAGCAGGAGCAACAATTAATAAGAGTAATTAGAGGTGCTTGAAGCCTTCTGGCTGTGCCATGCATTTTGTCTTATCTCTGAGGAGAAAACAGACTCATTCCTCAGCTATCCTGTAGACTGACTGCTCAGATGTCAAGATGTGTCCTGACCCCAAAGTGTCAGATGAAAGACTCGTCCCCAACGAAGATGTCATCTTTCCTGCCAGCTTTTACTGTTGCACAATTACGTGCCTCAGACGTGAGTCAGCTGATAGGGATGGTGGTGTGAACATTGGCTCTTTCTTTATTCTTCTTCAGAGATTTGTCAGAGCTGAAGGCAGAGCAGATGAGAGTTTCTGGATCCATACTTGTAAGCTGCTCCCGCCTGAGCTCTGCTGTGCAGCTCTGGGCGTCCATCACTGCGGGCAGACCTGTCCTGAAGGACGAGGCACAGCCACAAGCGGAACAGGACAGAAGCCAGAAGACTCAGGAAGTGATGTGCTTAGAAGTCAAGGAGGACCAGGAGAAGAAGGAGCTTCAAGACAGGTGAAGGTGTTTTAAACTTTGCTATTAACAACTTTACCTCTTGCGGCTGCGTCTTGGACTCGGAGGTGAGCTGTGTTCATGTCTAAAACAAACCCGTGCTGCACAACCTTGTTTCTGTCCCTGGTGAAACTGTTGCCTTCATCAGAATGGGTAGAAAAAGCATCTGATTGACAGAATCTCTTCTGAGTAAGACAAGACTGGAAGAGAGATTGCATATTACAGTGTTTCTGCTGTTAACTGAGCCTTGCTGAGAAAGTGAGACCAGCATAAAGAGAGCTCTGTCTCTCATACGGCTCTTTTGCTACCCAGGGCTGTGCTAAGGACCTGGGAGGAATTTGCCCAGAGCCGTCATAAGCAATGTGGCACCTCTGTACTGCCAGTGCCTTGCAAGTCTGAGCGCAGAAGGCCTTTGGGGCAAGAAGTGCTGTTCTGCAACATGAAGCATATTAACCTGTAGAGGTGAAGGCTGCCTTTGCTGTATTTTCCGGGTTGAACTTTGTCTGGTACGCTGCTGGGAGCTGCTTGTCGCTTTAACAGGCGATGGTGTGCAATGCTTTTGGAGTGGCACGTGGAACTTCTCTTCCCAGGGTGGTGGAGCTCTCAGCCTTGCTTGTACAGTCTCAGAAGCAGAACGAGGAGAAGGAGAAGACCATGAAAACACTTAGCGATGCTGTGGAGATTCTAGTATGTTTTACCTTTATCTGGGAGTCAGGCCAGCGTTTGCTCTCCAGCCTTAGCACAAAGAGGTGTGAGTTCCTCGAGAGAAGCAGTGGTAAAGATGCTAACCGTGTGGGAGCGTCAGGCACATGGCCAAGATATTCCTGGTGTGTTTGGCACATGTGGAGTCAGTCCAGGTGCAGGCAGTGGAAGGCGAGCTGCTCGCAATTCAGGCGTCTTCCTCAGGGGGGTTGTGCCACTGCTATTCTGCCTGTGACTTTGAGTCTCTAGGGATCAAAGTTCCTTGGAATTGGCAGCTTCATAGCAGTCTATAAAAACTAGCTGTTGGTCCTTCTCTGCTTAGTTCTGGCAAAGAAGAAATTTAATAGATATGGGAAGGAATATACTGTAATCACTAGGGCTGAGGCTTATTGGCGTGACTGTGCTAAAGAGGATGGGAAAGCTACAGAGGGGAGCAGCTCTTCCCTGCCCACCCTTTCCTTGTTCTGCTCTCAGGAAGCAAGTCGGTTAGAGAAAGAATATGAAGCTTCATTGACTAAAAGTGCCAAGGAAGAGAATCTTTTGCTCCAAAAGCTGATACAAGATATAACTGAGGTAAGTACACAGCTGGGACCACATCCCTGTAAATTTGTTTTAAAAGTACTTGAGGAAGGCAACAGACTAGCCCAGGGAATAGATATATATGTTGTATATGGTCTATGTTAACTGGTACTGGCTGTTTATTTTTTAGACCACTTTTCTAACATAAATCCGTTATCACTTCCAAGTTGGCTGTCCCGTGACACTTCCACCGAGTGACTAGAAGTTTCTGTACCTTTGTCTTCACCGTCCCACTGAGGTCTCTCTTGGACTGTGCTTTCTGAGTTGGCTACCTGACACTGGTACTCCGGTGTTGCTTGGAGGCTTCCCCCACACTCCTTGAACAATGATTTTGCCGTTCTTTAGATTTTTATAAAAGGTCACTGACTCAGTCGGTGCACTTGCTTACTCTGCTCCTTCCCTCTACGTTCACTGACCTTAATTATCTCTCCAGAATTGCAACTGAGCTGTTTAGGGGTAACTTTAAATTACTCCTAAACATCGCTCTGTGGAACGGGGTTTAATCATTAGATCTTTTACGCAGCCTCTCACAAAGTCAGTTCTTTCCCATTATGTAGTTATTTTTGTCCTCTTGTGCTACTGCTCAGAGTAATTATAAATATTTGCTGTTTCATTGCTGTTTTCTAGTATTCATCAGCTTCCTTCTTTCCTGGGCAGCGTTAGTGTTTCCTTCCATTGCTGTTTCCAGTGTTGATCTGGTGCTCGTGTATGTGGCTCTTAAGAAGCTGAAGGAGACCAAAATTATTCCTGAGAACTTAAAGACACTGAGCGTTCAAGCAGCCTCCAGCCACTTCACACTTCTTTCTTGTTGTTTATATTAGCTGTATTCAGAAATCCTTGGAGTGCCTGTGGCCACAGGGACAAACAGTCTTTGCTGACTGAAGAAATTAGACAATTGAGTTTTTAATGACTCTGGGGTGGAGTGGGGGAAAAAGGAGAAATAGATAAAGAAAACCAAGTGGAATGAGCAAAGAGTAACAGCTTGATGTGTGTTTTCAGGTGGTGTTAGATGACAGTGACAGCACGGTCAGCGTTATCTGCACCGACAGTTCCCAGCCTGCAGAGTGTAGCAACATCCTCTCTTGTCTGAGCTCCGTTGATGCAGAGCGTGCCTTGGCATTGGTTCAGGAAGCACTGGCAAGGAGGCGAGGAGCAGCCCAGGTGCGAATTTCTGCTTGTCTTCACCACTGCCCGCAGGCTTGGCTGCTAATGCCTCGCTTAGCTTGAGTCCTTTCCATTTCCTTAGCCAGGTGAGCCACTTTCTTTCTAGCCTTCCCACTCTTGGTATCGTATTGCCTTGCCTGTCTCACCAGCTCTGTCCTACTGCTTTTCTCTCCTTGATCTCCACCCTCTCCTCACAGCTTTTGCCTTCAGGTGAGCTATCTCTCTGCTTGCTGCTTCTTGCA